TTATTAGTGTATGGAAGTATAGTCTTAAGTCACCTTTTATTACCTTTACTTAAAAGTTCTTTTGATGTTGCCAAAAATTCGGGTCTAATAAATTACTTCTATTATTAACTACACAACTAAACGAAACTTAAGAATCAAGTAATTCGTTTGAGATAAATTGTAACTCTAATCTAATCCAAATTACTGTTGATTTCTCCTATAACGTTAACATTTTTTTAAGGAGTTAAATGAATAAATGTTAAAGTTTTACAATAAACCTAGAAGTTTATTCCAAAAAAGTTCCTTAGAACTTATATTAAAACTTTTTTTGTTCTGAAAAAGGTTCCATTAAAATATATGTATTTTTTAAAATTTAACGTTCTAATTTTTGTCATATTTCGCTATTGTTAGTGGATAAGGTCATATGCAACAATTTTTAAAGGTAATTCTGTTTGTGCTAAAGGTGACCTTTTTGTAGTCTGTAACAGCAATGAATACTCTGCTACGTTAGAAAATACAATAGGAAAATTATATCAGTTTTTATCTTATTTTGTAAAAAAAAAAAAAAAAACTGAGTTCTCCATACGATATTTTGCACTAACAATATCGATATGAAGTATACCGTAAATTAAAGAACGTTCCCACTCTTCTTTTCCATTATATTTCTGTAATCCAACTTCTTAGATCGGGCATCAATTTATGATCACAGCGTATTGGTTATACCAATTTCCTTCGTGGTATAGATTATTTTATTTCTATATTTTCTTATAAATATATAACATTTATGTGACCATGAGTGCTAATATTAATAGTAATAGTAATAGTACAGCAGTGTACCGCCAGGAACGGAAAACCAAAGCACCGAGGGCACCGAAGGTCTAGGACGAACGTTGACCTTAAAATCCTTCTCCATGTTTGACAATCTGCATCCGTTCATCAGAAATAAAGCTCATTATGAAGGAATTAATACTAAGCCGACTTTGAATATTTAAAAATATGACGGCTTAACATAATTAGCATGTAGATATTTTTATAAAAACATGTACATATATGAATAAATGAATATTATTTACGTACGTTTATAATCATTGAATCATTCAAGGAATAAAAAAAATATATAAAAAATAAATAAATTCAATAACATAAAAAGTGTAAGTCTTTGTTGCTTAAAACAGAGTTTGAAATTGATAATTAAAAAAAATCAAAATTATATCTGATCATGATTTTTATCTGGAATTTTAAAAATCATTCGATGATGAACAAAATTTTTACAATTAACAATAATAATAATTTTTGCGTAATACTTTTTAAAATTAAAAATATAATTTTTTTTTTGCAATCTCGATGATATACTTTAAATCTGGAGTAGTAGATGGAGAATATTGTTGTCAACTATTAGTTACAGGATACCTCTATTTCCGAAATTCGTTTGAAATTTTGGCTTATGAAAAATAAATATATACATAGTGCAGCTAACGCGTGCATAATTAAAGCGATTTCAGAAATATAGCATTAATAAATGTTTACACAATCACAATTTAATTATTATTATTTATGTAAAACCGATCAAAAATCGATTTAAATTTGTATTTATAAATCAAAAATGGTTTTAAATAAATAATCAATAATTATAACATCATTTTGTTGAAAAAGTAATTATCGATTTCATATCCTGATTCGAAATAAGGAAGAGCCCGTTAAGTAATGCAGTACAGGATAATTTTGAGGTGACGTGAATATTATGCGGTCATCAAATGAATAATGATTTTAGAAACAAACGTGAACCTAATAATGCATTGACATATATTACTCCTTCCTACCTCAGTACAGTTTTCAGAAAATCGAATTTGAATTTGTTTTTATCTTTTTTGGCTGAAATAACTGATACAGAGGAAATGAATTCCATTTATTTATTTATTTTTTAATTTCCTAATATTTTATATATATATGAAAGTTCTTCCATTAATATTACCTTAAGAAAATTAATTTAAAAAATTTCTTCTTTTAATTTATATGAGCCGATTTTGTACTTAACTAGGGTCATGATGCTTATCAATGAAAACTACGGTTTAAAAAGATTCCAAGTTTTTTCTCCTTCCTCAAAAAAGTTTATTTATTCATTCTGTCACTTATATGCATACTTTTAATAAAAATACATTTTTATTGAAAATATGCATAAATTTATTTGAAAAAAAATGCTATTTTTTGAAATAAATTATCAAGGTTTTTTAAGTGTTTCTTACTAAATGGTTTTGAATACATAACTAGATAGTATAAAATTATCTATTTACTTGCTTGCTAATGATAAACGATTTTTTGTCTTCGAGGCATAGAGCTGATAAAAACTGTTGAAGGTATTGGTACAATATATAATAAAAGAATTATGACTTTTCTGATCATTTTTCAATATTTCGAATATTTAGTGCAAATATTTATATTTTAAAAAAGTTACTATTACTAAGCTAAATAGTGAAACTATTTTTATTTTGGGTAAAAATACAGTAACATTGAAAATCTGTCTGATTGCTGTTTCAAGAATGAAAATTACACAATTTATACAAATTATTCATAAAAATTTCCTTTGTATATTTAAAAATAAAATATGCCAATATATTTTATTTTTATATATTTATATATGAAATATTTTATCGACAGCCACACTCCAAAAACCTATTAGTATAAAATCTAAAATTATTCATTAGACGAAATAAATTGAGTATTTAAAATTTTGTGTTCTAAATTTTTTTTGTTTAACTTTTACTCCTCATGCTTGATACAATTTATTTTTTATTTTATTACGTTTTTGTTTTCATTTCTAATTATACACAAGGTGAAGACTGACAATAAAAAAATTGTACTTACAAACAGGCTTTAGCAGCTTAGTTGTCGATATTATTTTTGCTTTTCTCATTTTCATTCTTTTTGTATCCGAATGTTTAATAAACAACTAGCACGTCAAATTTGACATGTGATTGACATGTCTGTTAAGATTTTGTCACTGTTATTATTTGAGTATAATCTAATTTCATTTGGAATGCTTTTTCATAAACAAAACTAACTAAAGCAAGTAAAATTCACATTATATGTACTTGCAAGGTTATAAAAGTATGGTAGCGCAAAAAGTCATTATGTGCGTTGTGATTTCAGTTTTTTTCTTTGATATGTACATATTAAGTATATTAATTAACTGTCGGAAATAGAATAAATATTTAGTATTGCAAATAAGAAAAAATAAATAACCAAATTGCTATCTTAGTATTTTTTTAATGAATCAGATACTTCAAATTTGATTATCTCAAATTCATTAAAATGTTACTTAATGACTTTTTGCAATAAACTGATGATATATTGTATTTAATATAGGCTGAATTCCTATACTAAGCCTTCAGTTGTAATTGCAAGACTTGAGCTAAAAATAATATTTAAAGAAATAACAATAAAGTTTTGTTGTTGATTGGATCGCAATCGTTAACGCACATTTAAATCAAATGATATTATTTTATTTTGATGAATTATTCTAAAAAAAAAAAAATCATTATTAATCATTAATAGATCCAAATTATTGCCATGTAAGTCCATAAACTGTGTACATTTGGTGACGTTTGACCTATTTTTTTAAATAAAAATCTTTAAAAAAAAAATGGCACCGAAACTAAAAGATATGACTATACAATTAAGTCCATAATATTTTATTGTCATATTCTTTTCTAAACTAAACTTCTTAAAATTGTTCTATTTGGAATATTCTTATAGATGCTATGACTTATAGCACTGTTTCACTCTAAAACATTGAACTAGGGCTTGAAAAGGAAAAGAATATTTATTTTTAAAAATATCACGGTATCACTGGAATTTTTAATGTCGGTAGTTTTATCAGTTCTTTTAAAAACTGGAACTTTTTCAAGTAATCGTTTTACAAGACTTTTGTTTTTAAAAACTTTAATCAACAATTTCTGTCGATTCCTATGAAAAATCAATCTAAAAAATAGTTTTTATTCTTAGATACTCAAACAAACGACAAATTAGAATGACGGGTAATTCATTTAAGACGAATGATAGCTCCGATATAAGTTTAACTGTTGCTTATTTGTCAGTCAACGGACATTTTTTAAAGAACTTGAAAAAATGCAAGTTAAACTTTTACCACAAACCTGGAACTTAATCACAAAAAAAAATTAGAACTTTCATCATAAGAACATTTTTTCTAAAAAGTTTTACAGAAACTTTTAAATAGAAATTTTTAAAAAACTGAGCTCACAGGCGGATCCACGAGGGAGGAAGGGGCTTTCGGGCTAAAGCTCTCTCAAAATGGTTAAATATAACCATGATTTATGAAAAAAATTATATTTAAAAGTATTATTGTTATTGCAATTACGTTTAATTGGACTTCAGGAATCACTAAAACACCATTTCATACAGGTAGTTCGTTTCTTTCTTTTTCTTCCAAAGTAATCATCGTTAAATATACGAAAAAAAAAATAGTTTTGAAAGGAAGAAAGTAAATTTTATTCTGGTACATTTAGTCCCCTCGGAATAATTTCAAAGAATATAGAAATGACAATAGTCTGGTGATTGTGAATAATTAAATGACAATTAAAAATTAATTAATTTACTAAGTTGTCTAATCTTTCAGCTTTCGGGCTGAAGTTCCACCCAAAATTAAATCCTGGATCCGTTAGTGTAGAGAATGTACCACATCAAAGAAACGGAATAAGATAATAACACTAGGGGGAAAAAGAAAAAAATATTAACGACTTTTTTTTTTTTTGTTAGTATGAGTAGATGTGTTTAGAAGTGTTTTCTTTTCTTGTAAAGTGTTAACGAAGATATTGTTCTTTCAATCAACGATAAGAATAAAGTGATTAAAGTAAGAGATGATAACTTGTTAATGATATGATTATGATACATAAAGAATATGCTTTATGATATGACATATACGAGTGTATATAAAAGTGTATATATATATAGTGTATATAAGAGTGTATATATATATAGTGTATATAAGAGTGGAAAGTACTCACGACAGGTAGGGTAATGTTCCGTGCACTAAAGTCGAGCGAAGACGAAGCCGGCAGGCCGGAGGACTCCTAAATGTTGCTTCCGCCTCCATCGGCTACCCCCTCCACCTCAGACATCTCTTTGTCACTTTTGTTCTTATGTTTGGCTGTTAGCGCCCTTTGCGGCTTGTCAACAATGACAAGTTTCTCTTCATTTACCATTAAGTAAATTTGGCAACCGTTTGGCCGTCGACATGAAATATGTGACGAAGTATACGCCATAGCTTCCGAATGAAATTTGGTAGTTTTTGTCCCCTGTAGATAGTGGAATACCGTTATTCTGAAAATTTTTTGTTTTGTAAAAAAAAATATTTTTTTTTTCTTGCCAATGAACAATAATTTTTTAACTGCATCCGAATTCTCAAATTACCAATATCGATCTTAACAATCATTAGTACGAAATCTAACAAAATACAACAATCAGTATAAATTTCTCTTGAAAATGTATTGGCAACATGCTTCTTAGGAATAGATTAAAAATACAATATTTGATTCTTTGTTATTTGGCAACTGATGACTTCCAATTAACAACAATTGAATTTATTTGTTGTATTTTCAAATTACATGTTTACAAGTTAACGTTTCGGGATATTTACTCCCATCTTCAGAACTACAATCCCAATGATTTTTTGTTGATACATGGCTTAAATCTAATGTGCTCCATCGTCAGGTTCTAATTCAAGTTATAATAAATTAAGATATATAACATCCAGAGCAACATCTTGCTTTTAGATCAATTATTGGGTGTCTGCCATAGTGAATCAATGGCATGATGATAAACATTTAATTTGAAAATACAAAAAATAAATTCAATTGTTGTTAATTGGAAGTCATCATTGCCAAATAACAAAGAATAACATACTACTTTCCAGAAAAAAAGAAAAAACAATATTTGATAATGCATGATTGAAAAAAGTATGACAAGATACTGCGGCTCACATTCAAAATGATACACTTTGATAGAAATTATTGAATAAATAAATAATTTAATTTATCAAAAACAATATTTTATTGTAATCAATAAACATCCTTCGTTTACACTTAATGAAATTTTCTTATGTTCTTTTTCTTGCTCTAATGTTATGTTTTACGTTCTTTTCTTGTGTTATATTTCTTGGTGTGGTGATGTATTGCGGTTTCTGGTGTAGGAAATTTTCACTTTATAATGAAAATATTCTCATGGTATAGTGAATAAACATGTTTACAAAGACAATTTCAGGAGAAATTCTGGAAAATTTCTTCAAAAAAGAAATTTTGTTTTTATGAGGATAATGACCCCAAACACTCTGCCATAGTGGTTAAGGAACGGTTACTTTATAACTGCTCCATCGACTCCATTACAAGCAGACTGAAAGGAGTGGTAGAAAATAATTGCCTTCAAGGTGTTGAACTAAATTAATAGTACTTAAAAGTTAATAAGAAGTGAAGTGTATCATTTTGACGGTGAGGTTAAATTATCCAGTTTTTATGATTAATTGTTTTTAATAATCACAGTTGAATATTTTAGTTTTATTGAGTATATGTACATATTTAAAATGAGGTTATAAATAAATCTGCTGACGAGTTTTTGGTTTTATTTATTTTCTGTAACCATTGAAGTTTATTTTTTTCTATTTTTCTATAGGGCGTATCAATTTCACAGTGAGCTATTGTACTGTAATATATAAATACAGGCACGTATACATATGGTATATAGAGGGTGTAGATAGTAGGTAAAGTGATAATAGGCTTCAAGAGTTACAATAAAGATGTTAAAAGACGAAGAACGGTTCGATTTTTCGCATAAAAGCAGGGAATTAAGTTCATATCAATTAAATTGCGGTTGGTTTCTGAAAGAAGTTGAGATTTGCCTCTACCTAAGTAAAACGTGAAACCTCAAATTTTGAGAGGGGGTTAAGTTTTTGAATTTTTTGGTCGATCACAATGGTTCATTATTAAAAATAATAAACCAAAAATATTTAAAAATCGCGATATCTCTACAATATGAATGAAACTTCCTTCATTTTTTAGGAAGTTTAAATATCTTTCAAACATCTTATCACAATATGCAATACAAAAAAGTATGAACTTTTTGAGTTATTCGGAATTTAATTATACCATCCCTCGTAACTTTTTTTCCAGCTTCTTTTCGTTGATATATGTTATATAAATAAATTTCAAGAGCGTCGAGAAAATGACTTTAGCGAAGTTTCAATGAAATCAGTACATTCGTTTAGGCGCTACAGTCTATAGCAAAGCAGGTTTTTCCGCCACCATTTTGAAATTATAAGGCGGGTAGTAATGTCGATGAAGGAAGATCATCCTCGAGGTGACCTCTGATTTTATATCCAAATTTGAAAAAAATCGGTCGAGTAGTTTCGGAAAAAATGCGCGGACGGCGGACGGACAAAAATTTTTTTATTCGTTTTTCGAATTTTACCTATCCTGAAACGTGAAACCTCAAATTTTTAGACGGTTTTTTGAAAATAATAAACAAAAAAAAAATATGTGATTTGATATACTCTTACCATAGATTTTATGGATTTAAAACGTATTGAACAAGGATTTTTTTTTAACCAAAGTGGGGTGTATGTAATACTGTTGTAGGTTGATAAAAAGAAAATCGAGAATAATCATTCAAACAACTGCGTGTAAAAAAAAAAACTTTAGTCTGCTTTAAATGATTTAAAAAAAAAAAAAACCTACTGGCATTATATAGTTTATTAACAAACCAATTTTTAACTTCTTAAATTTAACATTTTTTTCATTTTAGTTTATATTTAACAAAAAATCGTGAATTTCTTTTAAAAAACAACACAAAACTTTAATTTTCTACACCAAACTTTAAATATAATTGAGGTTCATATAAACTTTTTTGTCTTGCTCTTGAGGTCTACTATCATTCCTCTAATTATTTTCCTTTGCTTGTGGGACATCCTGTACAAAAAATATATTATATGTACGATTATAACAAGATATACGTAAATATGACAAGTATTACATGTACCAATATAATATGACAAGATATATGAGTACATCTAGATAGTAAAATGCACTAGCGGATCCAGGATTTAATTTTGGGGGAGGCTTCAGCCTGAAAGATTGTTTTTCGTCATATACATATAACGATAATTAATTTGAAAAAAAAAGAAAGAAATTAACTACCTATATGAAATGGTGTTTAAATGGTTCCTGAAGTCATATTAAATGTAATTACAAGAACAAGAATACTGTAAGAGATAGTTTTTAATATTTTTTTCTGTAAAACATGGTTATATTTTACCATTTTGGGAAGGGCTTCAGCCCGAAAGCCCTCCCCCCCCTAGATCCGCCTGTGGTGAAATATATGTATTCATAATATTCGATTGGGCGAGGATCGTTTAAATTTTCTTTTAATTTTGATGTTCGCATAAATCAGTGATGGTTATACGTCACTGATTATTCATTAATAAAAATTTTTGATTAAAAAATTAATATACAGAGGAAATGTTTAATCAGTTATGGTACACGAAACTCTTAGAACTACAATGGAAATTTAGCATTATGGTGAATCATCTCTAAACTTGTACTAAATGTTTCAAATATGCGGTCAGATTCCATAGAGGAATGGCTAATTGCGTTGCATATCAACAGAAGATTTTTGGATACCAACAATTTGGGTTCAACGAGCACGAAACCGTCAAGAAGTACATTTTTTTTCTGAGCAATTTGATTAATTATTATCTTTACCTCAACACTTTTTCGATGGATGGCTACTGCTGTCTTAAGTTTTCAATAAATACCAGAAATACTTTTTTGGATTTAATCGAAGAGTGGAAAATATCCTGCATTGTTCACATCCTGCACACAAGTTCAAATTTTGTCCACATTTTTATATTAAACTCTTAGGAATTATTGCATTGAATTGTACAAATTATAAAAATGGATTTATATATTTTTTTAATAATTTTATGTAAGAGAGTTGTGTTCTATCTTTATATTTAAGCTGTTGAAATATATAAATTATATATTAATTCTGCTTAAGTCCTTAAATTTAATTTAATTATTCGCTTATAATCAAGTGATTAATACGTAACTGGATAAATAAGGTTAAATCATTTATTAATTATGTATTAAGGTAATAAGGAAATGTACCTTAAACTTGAATCGATGAAAGGTCGGTTGTGTTGGTTGCAGACTGAATGCTTGTACGGCGTAAGGCGACCTTCGCGGATTCGCGAGTTTTTTTTTTACTCGAAAAAAAATTAAACAATCTCACATAAATATACCTTATGGCATTTGTTTCATGATCTCCAACCCTGTTTATTTTAATAATCCGCTCTGGTGATGTAATATACTAACTGTTAACTGCTTCGTTATTCATTGGCATCGAGAGTTTTTTTCTTTATTTTAGTTTTTTTTTTTTTTTTCCTAATAATGTCCCAACATTGATTTGCATGTTCTCTATTTTCTTTATCTATCCGCTCAATCTATCGTTACCTCTTTCTTCGAAAAAATTGATTTCGACGAGACCTTGTGGCTATGATGAACTAATCAGACTCGTGAAAATATATTAGCGATGAAATTATAATGTGTTTGTGTAATGATAGCCTGCTTCTCAAAATTTATCTTTCAAATGGAAGATTTACAGTTGGAATCGTATTATTTGTGGTAAATTATATGCTGAGATACCGAAAACAGCAATTTTCTACTTTTTCATTTGCCATCTCATTTTCAGTTAAAATAAGACTCATATTGAGACGGAACTTGAAAAACAATCGTTAAAAAATTAGGGGAAAAATAGTTTACCAGTGTTTGATTATTATAGTACAATAGAATTTTTTATTATATTACGATAATCTTCTGAAACTTTTATATTGTACACATGTTCCAGTCTCCTCTACGGAATTAAAAAAAAAAAACATACAAAGACAATGAAACAAAAATTTGCAAAGTCAAGTCGGCATTGTTATAAGCTACTTAATTAACCATATTTCAAGGTCAATGATTTTTTTTGGAGGGGAAATTAACAATATAAGCCGATTTTTAAGTATAGTCTTGTCGGAGAAAGAAGTAGACGGAACTATAGTTTAACAAAAAATATAG